ACCAAGCATGTCACTCGCAGACACAAGTCTCCGGGAGTCGCCCCTCCAATTATACGTCTTTGGAAGTAACGGGGAAGGCCAACTCGGTATACCAGTAGCGGAAATGGTTAATACACCAACTCGAATTTCTGATCTTACTCCTTTGAGTTACAGCAAATCTGTTGATGAGCTGAAAACGATCAAAGGCGGCGACAACCATACGCTGCTCGTCACTAAACGCGGCACTATCTACGGGGTTGGCGATAATCGCAAGGGTCAGCTGGTCAAGGGAATACCAGAATCTCGACTCGACCGTTTCCAGAATTTGACTTCCGGATGCAACTTTGCCGCAGCTACATGCGAATCTTCTGCCTTCATCGGGAGCGCAAGCGATGAGCTTGGGCCTAATCCATCAGACGGTTGGGTCGAAATTCGCGGCTCCAACAATTGGGGTGAGTTGGGTTCGGACGACGGAGATTCAACCCGATTCCATCTACCAGGCAAAGTAGTCGACTTTGCAGCAGGAGTCTGGCATTATGTCGCCGTCATGGCCGATGGTTCAGTCTATGGCTGGGGAAAAGCGCGTCTTGGCCAGCTTGGGGACACGCTGTCTGGCAAAGTTACAGTGGCTACCAAGATTGAGGACATACCATTCAAGCCGGAGAAGGTTGTATGTGGTAAAGACTTTACATACTTGGTTGGCGACCCAACCGAAGGACAGCATCATTTACTCGGGAAAGACAAGTTCAACATCATCTCGAATATGCCGGATCATATCAAGAATTGGAAGGACGTTGGCGCAACGTGGCACGCAATCTTTGTATTGTTCGAAGACGGGACCCTTACTGCGTGGGGTAAGGAAAATATGTGGCAACTAGTACCACCTAATTTACCACTTCTGGATAAAATTGCTATTGGGTCAGACCACATACTTGCTGTAACAAGGGAAGGCAATTTGATATCGTGGGGCTGGGGTAAGCACGGAAACTGTGGCGATCTCTCCAATATCGCGATTGAGATCAAGAATGACATGGTCAGCGGTTTCTGGAATGAGATCAGTATACCAGGGACATTTGAGATGATTGGAGCTGGATTCTGTACCAGCTTTGTCGTTACTAAACAATCAATCACGTAAAGTCTGCAAAGAAATTTCCGGAGAGTTCGACATGATCAGTGGCGTTTGCATCATCAGGTTAAATCGTAATCCTACGCGATTTCAGAAGTCTAATCTTTCTTGTATATCTAGCATAGTGTTCATCAGACATCAGACATCAGACATCAGACTCTATCGCTCAATACCCCTCTTGAACCAAACTCCATTCCGCAACCGTCCCACCATCAGTAGCGTTCTCGGCGAACAAATTGCCCCGAATACCCAAGTGCGCATAACGTCCGCTCCAAACACTCTGCTCCAGGCTGATATTTGTCTGATTGCCGATATACGTCTTGATCTCATAAGCAGTAACCGGATCCCAAGGCGCACTGATCTCTACATCTCCTGCCGCCACGTTCCTTACATCAGAATTAGAATCAGATCCCGACTGGCTTTCGAATGGCGGTAGAGTACTATTGGAAAAGTAAACTTCGAAGTGTGAGGGTGGCTGGTTACCCCAGTCCATTACAACTTTATTCACTGGGTAGAAAGATGAGGTACCAAGATCCACGGTCAGGTAGCTCGTGGTGTTGGCGAGTTCAGGTTGCCATTTCGTGCTTGCGGCACCGTCGATGGCTGCAATTGGAAATTGACCAGGCTTGTTTCCTTGTGGAGGTGGCAGCAGGGCTTTGCACTGGAGTATGTTCCCGCCCACAGTAAGGGTTTCGCCCATTGCTCGGTTACGGATTACAATTGGCTCGTCTCCAAGCTCGTATGTTGTGTTGTTGCGTCCGCTGCGGGTACCGATCGTGACGGGAATGGGCTTGTCGAAGTACGTCGCGTTTGCTGAGGGCAGAGTGTAGTTCTCTCGTGGCAGACGTGCTAACGTCGTATGTGTTGAGTTAGAGGTAGCGTTAATGCCGTGACCCATCCAGTAAAAGGTACGGTAGTTCAGGTATGGTATCTGTGGCGGCAGCGTGGGGTCAATGTCTAGTCTATCGTAGTATAGACCCAGGCCAAGGTAACCAAAGATACCGACGCGGTTGGTTCCACCCATACCAGTTAGGAAAGGGAATGCAGGGTGTGTTCCCCCATTCTCCTCAACGTTATCGATGAGTTGCTCGGAATACTGATACCAAGGTGCGCGGACGTACGGCGAAGAGGAGTATACGTCGTACGTAAAGCTCGAGCATCCGGATGGCGATACTTCGTTCGCGACAACAGCAAATGAAGAGTAAGTCATCGCGGGACCATCGAGAGACTGCTTTGCCGCGTAATAGTCCAGGTTGGACAGGCTGTAGGGGTTGGGGTAATGTAGCAGATCGTCCACCAGAACAACATCGGCCTGCTTGACGGCTACTGACCCATTCATGCCAGTATACTCAACAATGATGCCGGCCTTCTCATTGATTGGGAGTCGCATCTTGGAAGCCTTATCCGCCCAGCTAGCGTTGGGACTGCGTCCAAACCAGCTATTGAACTCGTTTGTCTCAAGAAAGTGACGTTCCATGAGTGCTGTAGTAAACCCGATGTTATTGACCTGGTTGGCATACTCGTCCGGATCGGTAGCATTCCACAGCTCATACGCGCCAGAGGTTTCGTTGAAGTCCAGCAATTGACCAAAGAAATGCGCAATGGCGTTCGAGATTGGTAGCAGGGTGTCGTTGAAGTATACTTCGTCTCCTGTGATGATCAAGTGGTTGTTCATGGCGAGGCTGATGTCTCCGTTGAGATGATATTCGTAATCAAAGCAAGCGCCAGTTCCGGTACAGTTGCCGAATCGTCCGCTTGTCCATGGATATACAGCCCCTCCAGGCGTGAACCTGCCTGTTTGATTTTTGCTCGATTGGTACGCAGTTTCGACATTACGTTGCGCTTGGTCGAAGTGCTCCACACGATATTTGATAACGTTTTGGGCATGCTGCGGATGTGATACTTGCACCCCAGGTGCCATCCACACGTCTGCATCCCAGAAAATCATACCTCCATAGCAGTCTGAGCCCAGCCCGCAAACTGGTATGCTGTAGATGTCGAGCTTCGTGTTGTTGTTAGCTGCAGCTACAGCATTCGGTCCGACCATGTTTGACAATAAGTAGAAAGGGTTGGTTCGCGCCATGATATGCAGCTCCCGCACGTCTGGATCCTCAGGCAGAGATCCATTCGGCAGATGGTAATCATCCACCGAGTCTGGTGTCAGAATCGACTCCCATTCCTCTATATGAGAGTGAACCAGCTTGTAGTAGCCCTCTTCAGCGCCGGAAAGTGAAGCGTTGCGCGCTATGCTCTGTGGATCTGGGAAGGCATCGGTCGACGCGACTCCAATGAACTTCGTGATTTCGGTGGGACGGAAAGCGACTAACTCAACGGGCAGCGACTGGGCAATGCTTGAGCCATTGCCACCGCTAAAGATTCCCTCTGCTACTCTGCTACGAGAAGTAAGGTTCACCCAGTCACTACCACCCAAAGTCGAATATACGTAGGCCTTGACGTCGGTAATGTTTCCAGGGCTGACAGCAGACCAAATCGTAGGGGTATCTTCCTCAAACTTCTTGTCGACAAAGTCTGAGCGAACAGCGCAATCACCGTCTAAAACATCGTAGACCGTTACATTCAGATCGCGCGTCGCCGTAAGTCTTAGCCTGACGGCTGCTTTGTTGACGTAAAGCTTGTGCACGAACATCTGATAGTCCACATCGACAGTTCCGTCTCCGGAGCCTCCCGGCTTCCAGTTATATCGCCAGCTCGCTATTCCAGCTTTTACATCCAGACTCGATACAAAATCCGAAATGTGGTCGGGATTGACTGACGCATTCAAGAAATGGCCGTTCGCTTCAACAGCCAGGCCGCTCGAGTGTGGAATACCTGCAGTAAAGCTTTCCCACCCATACTGATATAACCAAGGGTAGTTTGATCCGTTCGTTCGTGGTTGGCTGTTCCAGAAGCCTGCGATCGTCGAGAAAGTCTGTCGTCTGCTGAACAATGGCCATCCGCTTATGACGTCGCCATTTACTGGCTCGTCGACTTCGAAAAAAGGACCTGCGGATGCCACATTAACGCCAAAGTAACCATTTGCGAGCGTCAAGCGCGATTGGTAGTGGCCTTGATCCAGAGCATGTGTCGCTATAACCCAATTCTGGTCATCCCAAGTCACGTCTTTGAACTGGTCATGCTCGCTGCTGGTGGAAGTCAGAACCAGGCGCGCGGAAGCTAAAAGCGCGACTGCAGATTGACGGAAGTTCATCAACGGCATATCCTACTACCAAGAGAAGAATAGAGTCCTGATAACGGAGCAATTCCCGACGCGTCTGAGGCATGCCAGCTTTAAAACAAAGTACAAAAGCATGTCGATCATTCACATAGCTGGCACGGAGACGCCCACGGGGCGCCACCCGTTCGTCTTTCTTACCTTTTTCCACACCGCTAGGCACGAGCTAGCTGTTCCGATAGCTCGTCACAAGCTTGTTTCGCGAACGCTAGGCCCTTCGTACGCCATCTTTGTAGTGCGAATTCAATCTGTTACTGTTAAACAGAAGACAGTCTCAAAACAATGTCGTTGAGTAAGTTGGCCGTTGGAAGCGCCATCTGCCGCGTGATGGAGACGCGTCGAGCTCAAGCGCTCGAGGCCACAAGACACGGAACATTCGAGATCGTGCGTGAATGACGTCATGGCTGACATTCAAATCAACGCTAAATTTGTCACCCCATCATTCATCGAATGTCGAATAGTGCAGATCAGCAATGTTCCGAGGAGGTCAGAGTTATGGCCACCACGAGATTCCGGGGCCACGACTGTCAGCTTGGGGTGTCGAGATGGCCGCTACCCCAATTTCAGCGCCCCGCTCTGTCAGTGGCTGAGTCAAGCGATTACGAACCGCAACCATGTAACTTTCTCAGCTGAATGATTACAATCCATACTTCATTCACAACCATGGCTCAACGCATCGTGTCAAAGTTCAAAAGACGCTCCAAGAAGACTACCAGCGACATCTATGTACCACTCGATGCCAAATCGCGTACGATCCGTGTGCTGCATCTCCAACCCGGCACCTGGGAAGATGATGTCTGTGCGGAGCTCCAAGTAGCCTCCATTGCACGGGTCCGAAGGCGTTATATCACCATCTCGTACACGTGGGGTTCTGAAGGTGTCGCCCGTCAAGTACTGATATCATGCAATGGAAAACCTGTTCCAATCTCCCGGAATCTATTCACGGCTCTGCGCAAACTTCGACGGCCTGACCATACAGTTCTGCTTTGGGCTGATGCTCTGTGTATAAACCAAGCAGATCCTCTGGAGCGTACTCAACAGGTGGGCATGATGGGTGAAATATACAGCAACAGTCGCGAGACGGTTATTTGGCTAGGCGAACCAATGCCTAATGAGGAAGCTGTTGCCTGCTTCTCGAACGATCCTACTTCTAGAATAGCATGGAAAGGTGATTCAAACGATCATTTGCTACGGAATACGTTCATCCTCGATTTCGAGGGTTCGTGCACATCAGAGCAATCCGCTGCTTCTGCAGTGTCTTCGACACGTCCAGGGCCGGACATCTTTGGTGCGTTTTGTTTGATCCAGGATTTTGCCGAAGGTACTTTGTATCCTCTACTTAAATTACTGGACCGCAACAAAGCCACTATATTGGATCAGATCGAACATCCCAGGAGGCATGCATTCACAGTCACAAACGCCCATTGGCGTCAACTGCTGTCTCTTAGGGTATGGGAAGGTCTCGCAAAGTTGATGAGCATGGCTTGGGTGCCTCTCTCCGATCTCATCATCTGACACAAGCTGACGATATAAATGCTAGTGGCAGCGAATTTGGGTGGTTCAAGAGACCGTACTCTCAAGAAATGCCACAGTACATTACGGCCCGCTTTCGGCACCATGGTCAATGTTTGCTAAAGCCGCTGTGAACTATGTCCAACAGCGTCACATGCTATGTCTGGACTTAGCTGGCACGCGCCATGGTCAAGATATCTTGGATCGATTCAGCGATTTCGTGCTTCGCATCGAGGAAACAAGACTTCGTCATCATAGCAGCTTAGACAACGCGACGTTGTTAGATCTATTATGGAAATTTAGGCCTCTACAAGCCACCGACAAACGAGATAAAATCTTCGCTCTTTTTGGACTCACCACAGATTGGCAAGAATTACCAGCTCTAGTTCCCGATTATAGCAACGATACTGCGACGACGTTTACTCAAACCACATTGAGCAACCTGTTAAGAGCAGGTTCACTATCAGTCCTTGCAGGAGATCTTGAAGCTGTCCTCAATCGAAAAAGACTAGAAGGCCTCCCGTCCTGGGTGATGGACTGGTCACTTCCATGCCTTCCAACCGAGATAGAAAGAGTTGGATCCTTGCACTTGTACAACGCTAGCGACAAGCATGAAGGCGCTTTCCTTTACCACCCAGAGAATCACGTGCTGGAGGTTGATGCTCTGTATATTGATCATGTCTCGACGGTTGGCGAAGTCAGCCGACATACACAGATCAATGACACATGCGCCGTGATACGTACATGGAAGCTGCTTACCAAACTCTTCGAACCAGTCGACAAGATTTATCCTACTGGAGAGCCTTGCGAAGATGTTTTCTGGCGGACATTGATCGGAGACCTAATATATACGGGCGCTGCTCCGAATGCTCACGGGACGAAAGGCTCTTACCGTCGAGCTACAAGTGACGATCATGACGCATATGAAGCGTGGAGAATGTGGTCTCGTTGTATCTCGCGAGACACCATCGATCGCACGGCGCCCTTTAATCTCGACGAAGGCATATCTGGAATCCACCACGCCCTCAAGACTGTGACAGCCTCCCGGCGCTTCTTTCTCACAAGTACTGGGTACATGGGCATAGGCCCAAGAACGACTGTTAAAGGTGATAGAGTGTACGTGTTTAAGGGCAGCAAAGTTCCATTCATAGTCCGAGGAGATGGACAAATAGGGGATAGTGATGGAGTCTCCTCTGCTCATGGTGATACATCTGTGAAAGATGGTTTTCGGTTGATAGGTGATTGTTTTGTTTACGGGTTGATGGACGGCGAGGCTTCCACCCAAGAATCCGTGCGCAGTGGAAAGCTCAATCTAATCTGATCATCCAATTTACTAAAGTCTTCGAGGGTAACCACAATTGAAAGCTTATATAATACAACGAGCTATAAAAATATTCACAAGAACAGAACCAACCCCTCCTCTTCGAGATACTGGACGCTGCAGATAACTACGAACCATAAATCTCCTATCGCCTGTATGCGCGATGTACCGGTGAGACTGTAAGCGTAATGGCTTACCACTTGCGCTCCGCCTTCAACTTCCTCCACCAGTCCCTTAGCATCCAAGCATCGAACTCGGTAATCTCCATCGCGCTACCGGCCATCATAATGAAGTTGGTCTGGCCCTGGGGTACCCAGTCGTAGAAGTCTGATTTAACGTTAATATCAACCCTTGGAATATAAGTACGCAACATACCTAGAAGACCGAGGCCATGGCCCATCTCGTGAAGCAGAATGTGGATGTTCTCCTCATCGATATTGTTGAAGAAGTAGTCAGGACCGATCTCCTGGCCCCAGTTGTATCCATAACCACCCATCTGACCTTCAAGACTCTCGTCGAGCCAGAGGCTGATGTCGAAACGGCTGGCCTCACCGCCGGGGCACTGGCTCAAATCGCCATCGAGATGAGCGCCGCGGTAGCAGCGGACGTCGCACTCAGGTACACCGTCGGCATCAGCTGTAGTGTAGATGTCAAGACCGGTGGTGTCGCCTTCGATGAGGTTCTTGTTCTTGACGGCGTAGCCAACAACGTTGACATTGAGTTCGGTGAGCGGGAAGCCTTCGAATCCAACGAGTATATCGAACCACTTCTGCATCGAGCGCTGCAGGGCTTTGACAGTAGAGGCACGCGCAGTCGCGGTGCTTTTGCCGGAGTGGTTCCAGCGAACGCAGTAGTTGATACTGCCGTTGTTGGCGATCCATTGGTCGGTGATCCAGTTCTTGTCCTGGAGGCCTTGCGGGTTCTCCTTCATAGTCTGCTTCCAGACCTGATCCAAACCAGTGGTCATGGTAGAGGGCGGATTCCATGTTGTCGCTTTGGGGATAGTGGCGCGGGAAGTAAGGTCTTCGGCACGGGCAAAGACGCTGCGTTCCTCGAGAGAGCAGAAGCGCCTGTCAATGTGCTTGATGGTTGGGTGTGCCAGCGCACCCAGACCAAATGTCGAAAATGCGACGATGGAATTGAAGTTCACCATGGTGATTTTCTAAACGAATGACAATGAAGTTAACGTGGAAAGCAGAAACAAAACGAATGTAAGTGGTTGGTATTCTCTTTTACCACGAGACTGTAGCTCAACCCTATTATACTATGTTGTTTGTACACCCGTAACTCGTATTAATTCATGTACGATCGTGACCCTGTTGCGCCGCATAAGTGGTGGGTCTAATCGGACATTACGAACCGAAGCAGGATTGTTTTGAATCCTTGTTTCGTAATGCAAGATTCGTGCTCGAGGAGAGAATTGCTACGTTTGTTTCGTGGATACCATCCACATGAGGCTGGGCGTTTCAGTCGCACGCGGCTTCCCGTGTTATGGACAGAGAACGGTGCGTGCTGAGCCGTCGGCAGGTGCCGCAGGAAATTTCTCCGTGAGGTAGGCGATGCAGAAGATGCGAGCACATGGGCTCCCTCTGTTACTCGTTCATGAGGTCTGGCCTTGCGCCTCGTTCATGTACGGACATCATGTCGTAGCAATTGTGATGACGAGTCAAGCTGGAACGGCAGGACTTCGCGTTGAGGTCCAAGCTCAGCAACACCCCAGCTGCACCAGCACATTTCACAGTTCGGTTGTTCTGCCACACCGTGAAAGGCTGATATGGCTGGAACAATAGCACTCGCAACATAAGTAAGATCTGAAGCTGCGTCATATGCAAAATCCTGCCTTGCCTCGCTGATACTGTACTGCGTCTAAGAACTCCATAAGGTTTTCTCAAGACGGGTTGATCGAGCTGATCGAGAAAAGAAAGAGACTTATAGGATTTGGCGAGATGCTATCAAAAATTCTGGATGTCAAGTGGTCTAAAGACAGAATTACATGTGTTGTCACAATCATCGATGACTGATCTGCATGATGAAGAGGAACAAGAGCCAGAAAATCGGATGTCCTTGAACACATCAGAAAGAATTCACAGGCATGTCATAGGTCGCATTTTGTCAACACAGTGGTAACTTCTGTTTCTCGCCAACTATCACGATTGAACACGGATTTAAGCCCGCCAATTAAAGCCGACTATCAAGGCGTTGCAGCTCTCCTGATCCCAGGATACCTACTCGTTGCATGCACAAGCCGACCCCTTACCCATACCGCAGTCGTATTCCGATCATCACCACTGTACACCCACTTCTCCACCTTATCCGACCAGCTCTCCCATCCAAATACGTCTACCGGGCCCTCTTCAAATGCACCATCCTGGCACCCCTCCTCGCTAACAACGCCGAGGCTGATCATCTGCGCGTCCCATTCCTTCCCAACCTCGAACCCGCCAACCTTGTCTTCCATCCCTACGACTGCTGCACCGCCTCTCGTAGCAAGATACAAAGCTTCCTCCGTCGAGAGTTTCACAGCATCACTCGAAGTTTGGATACACAGATGTCGCGACACCCATATCGCCTGTCGTACATTCTCCAATATCGATGGCGAGTTACCACCCGAAATATCTGTTCCAAGACCGATTGTATGTCCTTCATCGAGCAGTGATCTGATGGGTGCACATCCAGAGGTGATAGCCGTATTTGATGCTGGGCAATGAGAGATCTTGCTCTTCCGCTCCAAAATCAGCTTCCTCTCCTCATCTGAAAGATGTACCGCATGCGCCAAGATCGTTTTATCTGTCAACAACCCATGTGTCTCGTACACATCCGTGTAGCTCTTACTCTCCGGGAATAACTCCTTGACAAGCTCAATCTCGCCTTTGTTCTCCGAAATGTGCGTTTGAACATGCGCATCCGTCTCTTTCGCTAATCTACCCATAGCGGAGAGACAATCTGTTGTACAGCTAGGCGCAAAACGGGGTGTGATGATGGGTTTCACGATCTCGCCCTTTGGATCGATGGAGCGTATGTAGTCGATACTAGCTTTTGAATCGGCATAACTGCTCTCTACACTCTCGTCTCTGTAGTACTCGGGGCTTAGGTCGCTGTTCATACACACCCTGCCAACCAGGGCTCTTTGGCCTCGCTTCAGACATATATCTGCGAGGGCGTTGGTGGCTGGCACATGGATCGTGGCGAAGTATGCAGCAGTCGTTGTGCCATGCGATAATGTCCGCGAAACGAAATTCTGATACACACGGTGTGCGAGAGGAACGTTCTTGAACGAAGATTCCATGGGAAAGGTGTACTTTTGTAACCAATCTAGCAGCGTAGTCTTTCCGAAAAGACCGGTATTGGGATGTTGAGGTGCGTGGACGTGTGTATCTATGAAGCCGGGGAAGAAGAAACCAGATCCATTTATCTCGACGATCTGCGCATCAGTCCAGTCATCTCCCTTCTGCTGGATCAGATTGGAAAGGCTACCATCTTGTAGATTCCGTTCGACAAAACGGATTATGCCATCTTCATCTACGCCGATTGCGCCATGTTCTTGGATCTCAAGTTCAGAGAGTGATTTACTGTGAACAAAGGGGCCGATGTAGATGGATTTCGATATCGGTGCTGATGCTGCCATGTTGAAGTTTGTATGTCTTTTTCTGTTCAGAAATTCCTCCTCTTCAAGCAACAAGTT